CTGAAGTGGGGAAGCTGCAATGCTTGAAGTCGCCACCTACTGCTGCTCTTTGCCATCCACTGTTGCTACTTGTTAAGGACTACAAATATCTGCCAATGGCCTGGAATAACTGGCGGAGCTTCTACCCATGTTATCTATCTTGGTAGACCAGAAAGGCCCAGCCAGCTGCTTTGTTACAGTCTGGGTATTTCAGGGAATCGGCGTCAACCTCCAGTGGTTTCTGAACAATATTTAACAGAGGTGGGGACAGGCTGGGAAATGGCTAAGATGTGGTGAAACATCCCGAAGCTCACCACAGTGAGTATCCCACAGCAACCCTAGGCCTGAAAGGGGAAAGGAAGAGGCAGTTAATGGGAACCAGTGATGGTGGCTGTGGGAATAAAAGTCTGTGGTAGGAGCTTGGGAGAGGAATGAAGCTATTGCACACCCGGTCTGGCCAGCAGGGATCAGAGGAATGAACTTCCAGCTGCTCTCTCTTCCTGTGCTCCATCTCCCGGTGGTTCCTCCCATTCACTGTCCACACCCAGAGGACACAGGAGTGCATGGGTTCTCCATGAGGTGGGACACAGGGCGTGAGGGGTGTTAAGGAACAGATGGAACATGTGCTGAATTCTGCCCTGCACCCAACCCCCAGCAGTGAGCTCAGTGATGGAACGGCCTCGGTCTTTCTTCTTGTGTTTGCCTTCTTCCCAGAGAGATCCCGGTGAAGTGGAGAGCACCTGCAATCTAGAATGTGCTGGGCAAATATTTGTGGAATCTGTATTTGTCCTGTAAGACCAAGGGAAGGGGGTGGGGAGTTTTCACACCTCTGGCCCTCTTCCCCATCCCCACAGCAGGCTGGAGGGCCTCTCCCACTCCACCTTGCTCAGCCCCTTGAAGGCATGGCACTGGCTGTGGAAAAAAGCTGTGCCCATTACCTAACAACCCCTTGGGTTCCAGCTGAGCTGGCGACAGCCTTGGGACAATAGCCATCCTTAGGCTGTGCATATCCCACCCTTCAGTGGCTCTGTGCCACAGGTGGGCACCAGCCTGATCCCTGGTCTCTTTCCACTTTCCTGAGGCTGGGCGGCCCATTTGACAGGGATGGGGCTGGTATCTGGGGACATGCAGGAAAATGAAACACCAAGAAGTCCTGGGCCTCAGACCCCTGAGTGTGACTCAGTGAACACTGGCACATTAAAGGCTCTGAGAAGTCCTGAGAAAAAGCATCATTTGAACTCTGTTTGATCTCATATTTCCCAATCCCATCAGACCTTTGATTCCTTACTGAGTGCCCACAGGGTTCTGTTCTGTAGCTGAGGCCCAGCAGCAAACAAGGGAAACCAAAGCCCCTGCCCTGTGGGGTTATGTTCTAGTGGGTATATTTACAACAGGGCATCTCCTCATATCTCTAGAAGCTGTACTTCAGGGCTGCCATCCAAACACTGATTCTAAGGTTTTCCAGGACAGCCAGGGGCCTCCAGAAGTGCCTGTATAAATGTCAGGGTCAAATGCACTTTCAGGGCATTGGAGGAGACCTTTAAGCCAGGTGCCAGTGGCTCATACCTGTAATCCTAGCTACATGAGAGACTGAGATCAGAAGGATTGTGGTTTGAGGCCAGCCTGGACAAATAGTTTTAGAGACACCACCCCCATCTCCAAAATAACCAGAGCAAAATGGACTGGAGGTGTAACACAAATGGTAGAGGGCCTGACCTGTAAGTGCAAAACCCTGAGTTCATACCACACTTCCACAAACAAACAAAAAGGGTTCTTTAGCTTCATTGATTCATTTGTTCCCTCCTGTCATAAATATTGTTGAAAGCCTACTGTGTGCCAGATGAATGAAGTACCCCAGTTCCACAAAAAAGAAAGAAAAAGAATTCTTTCCCTTCCCTGTTTCCCTACCATGTCCTAATTCTCTCCCCTCTCTCACTTTCCAATTAGGAAATAGTTCACTTTGCTTCATTCTGTGGCCTGATATTGATAGAATTCCTCCACCTCCCCTGGCCAGCTCCCTTTTCCTGGGGCCAGGAGGGGGATTCTCCTTTAGAGGGTTTGCTCAAGCTGCTAGTAGACCAGAAGCCCCCTGGCTGAAAGAGGGGTATTAATCAGGAGTACAGCTGACAGTGTCTGTCCACAGTCCTTGAGGAGAAGACCAAATGGCAGAACTGATGATGAATAGCTGGTCTCAATGGGCCACATGTCTGTCTGCAGATCCTATGCAGCAGCAGGGACTTGGTTAAGACTATATGGTTAAGGACTGTACCCTTGATTAGCTCTGCCAGGCCAAGCAGTGACAAGCAGAGGCCTTGAGGGAATCCCAGCTTCCCTCTGAATGGTCTCCTCTCTGTCACATACAACAGACAAGGCTGGATAGTCTTGTAAACTGCTTTGGAATCTGGGAACATCTAAACTGCCTGCTCCCCTCTGCCATCCCGCAGCACTGAACACCCCAGCTGAGCAAATAAAATGTCCAGACCACAGGAAGCAGGGTAATCAGGACATGGCTATTTTTATCCCAGATTGAAGGATTTTCGAAGCTCTTTCCACTGCATGCTCTGCTTTCCACAGGCCAGGGATACTCCTCTCTCCTCTCTTTCTCCTCTCTCATGGTGAGTGTGACAGGAGTGGTTGGCTCCCAAAAGAAGCCCTGTCCAGTCATATTGGCCACCTCCCACCACCGAAGTCCCCTTAATGCAGGAAAGCTTTGCCTCCCTAAGGCAGGCTCAGTGTTGAGCCCAAACACAGGATTGAGGCAGCAGCACTAAGAGAGCTGGGTGCTACAAGGGATGGGTGAGGATAGGTAAGACATCTAAAAAGCTAGCTAGCATTTGTTGCCCTTAACGCAGAGAAACTAAAGCAGATACCTTAAAGCAACTGAGGCCAATAGGAAAAGGGGAACAGGTACTAGAGAAAAGGTTAGATCAAAAAGAATTAACCTAGAAGGTAACACCCACGCACAGGAAATCAATGTGAGTCAATGCCCTGTATAGCTATCCTTATCTCAACCAGCAGAAACCCTTGTTCCTTCCTATTATTGCTTATACTCTCTCTACAACAAAATTAGAAATAAGGGCAAAATAGTTTCTACTGGGTATTGGGGGGGGGAGAGGGAGGGGGCGGAGTGGGTGGTAAGGGAGGGGGTGGGGGCAGGGGGGAGAAATGAACCAAGCCTTGTATGCACATATGAATAATAAAAGAAAAAAAAAAAAGAGAGAGCTGGGTGCTGAAGGGTGACAAGGGCTTCTCATGGACATCGGAGAAGCTGGCTTACCTTATTCAGCAAGCATTTATGATGTGCCTATGCAATGTTGGTCCTGGGCTGGGAGGTGGTCCCAGAGTTAGTGCCAGGCCCAAGGATCATAGCAGATGCTGTGGTCTTTCTCCAAAATGTGTCCTGAATGCACCCATACCTCTCCCTTGCTGCTCCACCACCTGAGGCCTAGCCTTCTGCCCTCATGGTTTGCCTAGGTCACCAAAATGGGATCCATCCCATGACCTTGAGCAGGGTGAACCTGTGGGCTATCATCAAATCCCAGGAAGAAACTTTTGGAAGTACAAATGAGATCCCTTCTTCAACGTCTTTACAAGTTAGCATCTTCCAAATCGAGTCAACCAGAACAACATGGGTGAATCTCAGAAGTATTATGCCAAACAAAAGCTGTCCAAAACTAGAACACACTCTCGGAGGCCACTCGTACACTCAGAGTCCAGGAATGCCAGGACTCTAGGGACAGAAAACAGATGGCTTGTTGGCAGGGACCAAGTGTAGGGAGATAGAAGGTGACTAAGCAAGATAGAGTTTTGTTTTGTTTTTTTTGGTGGTCTGGGCTTTGGACTCAGGGCCACACACTTGCTAGGTAGCCACTCCACCTCTTGAGCCACTCTGTCAAGTGTTGACAATTTTTGAGATAGGGTCTTGTGAACTATTTGCCCAGGCTGGCTTTGAACCCCATTCCTACTGATATCGGCCTCGTGAGTAGCTAGGATTACAGGTGTGAACCACTGGCACTGCCATTTTAGGGTAATAACAGTGTTCCATGTCACAAGCACAGTTGCAGTTGATAAGAGCCATTCCTTTCTTGCTAATTTGAGTCTATGGTGTGAGATTGTATTTCATCCACTTACTTGATTTATGGTGGACCACTTTGCACTCTTGACTTTGTGTGTGTGTGTGTTTTGCTGGTTGATGGAACTCAGAGCTTTGCACATCTGGGCATGTGTTCTATCACTTCTATCACTGAGCTACTTCCTTGGCTCTTTTTGATTTATATTTTGAGACAGGGTCTTACTGTTAGCCCAGGCTGACCTCAAATTCGTAATCCTTCTGCCTCAGTGTCAGTAGTGGGGATTGCAGGTGTGCACCACCACACCCAGCTCCATTTTGACTTCTAAGTTCCAACCACACTGTCCTCCCTTTTGTTGAACAAGCCAATCCCATTTGAGTCTGGACCTTTGTACTTGCACTACCCTCCACACTAGTGCTCTGCCTTTGGGACTTCTTGTGGCAGGCTCTTAACCTTCAGGACACCCACATTTACCATTTTTCCTGGCCCCCCAGATAACTGAGTTACTTCCAATCTCACCCAACCACCCATGTTTTCCTCTCAATAGCCCCTGCCAAAGAGGAATCATCTATTTTTTTGGTTTTCCTTTGTTTCCCTGCTAGACAACCTCCAGGAGAGCTGGAACCATGTAGTGCTCATGCCTGCAGCCCTGGAACACTGATAGAAATTCTAGTGAGGTGGGTACCGACATAATCCCCTGTTAGAGAATACACTCTGAGACTCAGCGTGTGCAAGCCATGTGCCTAAGGTCACAGACCTTAGACATGACAGAGCCAGAATTTGGACCCAAGCCTGGCCAGCTTCAGGTCCCCAGAACTTTCCTGAAAGTGGCCTGTTTGTTTCCGTTTCCTGTAATCAGCTTACCATTCAATGCCACCTGTGCAGTCACAGGTTGGCAGGAACTGGGGTCTTCCACTGGCTGGTACTCCTCTACCTATAGCAGTTGGCAACATGACCTTGGCCCATGGGAAACCTGGTATTCTACCACCTGTTGTGGGAATGGGGCCCAGGGTAACTCCCTCCACCTGCCTGCTGCCCTATATCAGGGCCCGAGGCTCTGTACCTCCTTTCTATCACCCCAGAAGTCGTGATGATCAGGCTGCTGATTTCCTTCCTGTTTGTGGCCCTGGGTAAGCTCCATTTTGTGCCTCTGTACCTGTGCCATGCTGGCCTAGGGGCACCATTCAGGGGCCCAGGGTGACACCAGTATTTGGGGTCTTCAGCGTGGGGCTGGGAAAGTGAGGAACTGTGCATGAACAGGTCAGGAGGAAGCCTGGGAGAACCCAATGGGCTGTGGTGGAAGACTTCATGGTTAAGGTCTCTGTGGTTTGATGACTTGAACTGACATTTCCACTCCTTGCCAAGTCTCCCTCACATTTCCTCCATCCAGCTCCATATTTGGTAACTTAGTCCTTTCCTGCTATGTTACAGTTTGGTGCAGGGCCACCTCCTCCATGCAGCCTCCCTTAACTGACAATGCAGGAACAGATTGACATTATGGAGTATTTTCTATATGCCAGGAAGAATGCTAACAGTTTTTCCTTCTGTGATCTCATCTAGTTTGCATCTCAGTGCCATGAGGTCAGTACACTATCATTCCCATTTTACAGGTGGGAAAACTGATCCTCAGAGATATAAAGTTGCTCAATCCAAAACAAGCTGCCAGGCTGCCCTTTGTACCAGGTAGTCTTACCTCAAAGCCTCCTGTCTTTCCGGCAATAGCTGTCACTTCTGGGGACTCACTGGGCATCGGGAGTGTTTCTTAGTCTACAACCCTCCCATCGAAGGAGGTTCTGTACTGCCGGGCTCTGCTAGTTCAAGGGAGGCTACCAAGGTCCGCAGATGGAATGGCTGCCACAGGGTCTCATGATGAGGTATCAGCACAGCAGGTGCCTCACCCTGGCCTCCTTTTACCTTCTGGGGACCCACTGGCTGAGTGACACTGGTCGTCTTCCCTCTAGCTTCAGGCTGTGGCCAACCTGTCTACAACCCCTTCAGCCGCGTGGTCAATGGTGAGGACGCTGTCCCTTACAGCTGGCCCTGGCAGGTAAGAGCAGTAGCAGATGTTCCCTGTCCCATCCTGGACTCTGGACTCCAAGGTATGGATTTGTGGCATCCAGTCTACCCCCGCTTCCTGTTTTCCAACATCTGCTTCAGCTCCCAAAGTCCGCTTAGCCAGTCTGCTTCCAAGGAGGTTTTCCCATGTCAATCAGTAACCCCTGCCTGGCTGTTTAAAATTTAAAAGTGGAATTGGTCTAGCAGAGTGGCTCTAGTGGTACAGCACTTGCCTAGTAAACATGAGGCTCTGAGTTCAAACCCCAATACTGCCACAAAAAGTAAAAAATAAGGTGGAATAAACTAAAGGGATGTAGCTCAGTGACAGAGCATTTGCCTAGCATGTGCAGGACCCAGGCTTTGATCCCAAGCACAGCAAGGAAACAAAAACTGAAAATAGATTAAGGTGCTTGTGGGGGACTGGAGACATGGCTCAAATGGTAGAGTGCCTGCTTTGTGAGTGTGAAGCCCTGAGGTCAAACCCCAGTCACAGTTGGGCACTGATGGATCACTCCTGTAATCCTAGCTTCTCAGGAGGCTAAGATCAGGAGAATTGAGATTCAAAGCCACCGAAACAAATAGTTCGAGAGACTCATTTCCAAAATAACCAGGGAAAAATGGACTGGTATTGTGGTATTGTGGATCAAGTGGTACAGTGCCTGCTTTACAAGCGTGAAACCCAGCTTCAAACTCTAGTCCCACAAAAAACTAGTGCAATGGTGAGAAAGAGCAATGTGTGAGGGCTTCGGTTGCCGTGTTTAGGGGAGATTACATGTCCAGACTCCTCAAATTCTACAAGGCCATAGGTGTGAGAGCAATGAAAGGAGCAGGGGTTTCATGGAGCTTACAAATGAAAGCACAGAGGACTAGACTCACTGTCAGACAGCAGTCTCCACCCACGGGTGGCTATTTAACTTGAATGTAAGTTTAATAATGTTAAAATTCAGATCCTCAGTCCCCACACATTACAAGTGCTCAACGGCCACATGAGGCTGGTGGTTTCCATCTTGATGGCAAAGATGGAGACTGTTTGCATCGTCATGGAAAGTGCAGTTGGATAGGTCAGCAAGCTTCCCTGTAGGCTTTGCTGGCCTTAAAATGTCCATAGCAGGGACTTAAGGCTACACTGTAGCATAAAAACGGCAGTGATCCAGGCGCCTGTGGCTCATATCCGTAATCCTAGCTACCCAGGAGGCAGAGATCAGGAGGACCACGGGACCCAAGCCAGCCCTTGGGAAATAGTTTGAGAGACCCTATCTTAAAAATACCCAACTAAAAAGCGCAGGTGGAGTGGCTAAAGTGTTAGAGCACCACCCTAGCAGGCATGAGGCCCCGAGTTCAAAGCCCAGTAACGCCAAAACCAGACAAACAGGCATAGACAACACAGAAAGCAGTGAGTTTAGTAGGTTGCAATAGATCTACATGCACAATACCAGAGCATAAGCCAAATATGGGCATGGAGTATAGTTTGCCAACCCTTGGCGTAGGGGAAGGTTTTGAAAATCAGGAAGTGTAAGGAAGAGAGCAGCAAAGGAACAGGGTGAGTTTTGTCTCAGAAGATCCAAGAGGCCTTGAAAGGTCTGAGGGGCAGACTTGGGAGGCCAGCCTTGCAGGGCTGTCAAAAGAGAGCAGTATTCGGGATGCCCCAGAGGGCAGAGAATGTTGGTATCCCCAGAGAAGTCTTAAAACCTTGGGTGGGGAAGCTTTGGGAAAATATGATCCAGAGGAAAAGTGATACGGTCAACATGAGCAGTTGTGTGGGTTGTCCATCGATACTAGACCTCTCTCCCTACAGGGAGTTTAGCAGGGCCCAGGAAGGACCTGGCCTCCTGACACAGTTTTCTGTGTTCATAGCACCCTCTAGAGTTGTACAGTGCACAACCTGCAGAACCATTGGGGGCATCGCATATTGTGGGGCACAGGAAACTCAGACTGTTCTCTATTTCGTCAACAGGTCTCCCTGCAGTATGAGAAGAATGGGGCCTACCACCACACCTGTGGTGGCAGCCTCATCACGCCTGACTGGGTGATGACTGCAGGCCACTGCATCTCGTGAGTTCTCCCACCTGCCGTGTCCCTCCCTCTGCTGCTGTCTGTGTGTGAGACCCAGGCAGCTAGGATGGTTGGTGGCTATGGAGAGTGGGGACTTTGGCTACAGATCTGGACTGACTGGCTTCCTGCACAGGAGCTCTCGGACCTACCAGGTGGTGCTGGGCGAGTATGACCGGGCCGTGGAGGAGGGGCCTGAGCAGGTGATCCCCATCAACGAAGGGGACCTCTTCGTGCACCCTAATTGGAATGCCAACTGTTTGGCCTGTGGGTGAGTAAATGCTCAGGTGTGGGGCTGGGACTCTCCAACATTCCCTCCAGGTCCCCAAGCCAAAGAGGAGTGGGCAACCACCTGAGCCCAGGTGACACACACCACAGCTAGAGCCAGCAAAGCCGTTAAAGACCATCAATGCTACACTTCTCTCCCTACAGGGAGTATAGCAGGGCCCAGGAAGGACCTGACCTCCTGAACCTGAGCTCTTCTGGCACCTTCCCCCATCCCAAGGGTTCCTCCATTCCACAGACTTGCATGCTGGGTTCCTGCAGCACCATGGGTAAAAGGAGGAGTTTTGGGCTGAGAGGCTCCAGTGCTAACACCCTGGGTGGACCAGGCCAGTCACTGCCCTACTCTGGGCAGCAGTGTGATGTCTGTCAAGGGTGACCATGAAGCAGGACTTCCTGGGTGGCTGTGAAGGTGAAGGAGACCATATTCAGCCCCTCGAATGTATGCAGAGTTGTATGGCTGGGTGGCCTGACTTCCATGGTGAGAGGCTCTTGGGGGTGCAGCACCCCGAATGGGAAAGGTATGAGCTAGGAGCCATGACGATCACAACGCCAGTCCATGCTTACAGTGACAGTAACAAAATAGATCCTACTGAAGTGACATGAGTGACAGGCATGTGGAGATGGACGGCAGTGGTTCTCAAAGTGTGGCTCTGGGGTGCAGCAGCCTTTGGTGTCCTTAGGAAATATGGATCCTCAGACGTCAGCCCAGACCCATGGCCCAGAACACAGCCCCCTCCCCACAGCACTGTGCTTACTGAGCCCTCCAGGAGTTTCTGATGCAGCTGGAGTGTGGGAGGGACAGGTGCAAATGCCCAGGGCGATTATGGTGGCCAGGGTCATCGAGGACTGAAGTGGCTGGGGCTTACTCAGAGCTGCCTGGCCTCAAGAATGGATTTGAAGATAAAAGAACAGGGAGTCCCTAGAGCAGAAAATGCAGGGAATGAACGTTTGCCTAGGGTAGGGAGCAGGTCCAGCTCAGGGCCCAGGCTTTGTGTGACTCCTCTTCCTCCCCAGAAATGACATCGCGCTGATCAAGCTCTCCCGGAGTGCCCAGCTGGGAGACAAGGTCCAGCTCGCCTGCCTACCTCCTGCTGGTGACATCCTGCCCAACGAGGCACCCTGCTACATCAGTGGCTGGGGCCGTCTCGTGAGTATGTGCTGACCCTTCTAATTGGCCTATGGGACAAGGCAAAGTGGAGACCCTGGGTGGGGGATGGAGGGTCACATAAGAATTGTATCCTGTACTTCCCCCCATTTTTCACTAGTTGCAGACTTTTCCCCTATCTCCCCAGTTATAAATGGTTCAATGGAACATTTTGAGATGCCTGCTCTGTGGCAGGTGCTGGGATGTCACAGTGACAAAGCATACAAGATCCTGTAAGCCAGCAGGCCAGAGGAACTGGGGCTCCCAACCCTGCACCCCCAAGTCCCCCACTCAGTGCTTTCTATCCCTGCAGCCAATGGGGCTCTCCCAGAAAAACTGCAGCAGGCCCTGCTACCTGTGGTGGACTACAGCCACTGCTCCAGGTCTGACTGGTGGGGCTCCTCTGTGAAGGAGAACATGGTGTGCGCTGGAGGAGACATCAGCTCTGGATGCAACGTAAGTCCACTCTTGCCTGCAGGAGGTGGCAAAGGATGCCTAGGGCCCTGGGTCCCTCTGCCATCTGCCCACAGGTGGAGGAGGTAGCTTGCCTGCTTGTCTCATTCAGCTTCCAGGCCAGACAGGAAGAGGAGGAACTCAGCATAGTCCAGATGTAGAATCAGGAGCCTTGGATTATAGCGTGGCTCACATGCTGACCTGACCTGGACAAGTCACTGTCAGTCCCTGGTCCTCAGGCTTCCCCATCACCACAGCAAGGGAGACTTGCAATGTGATCTCTCAAGTCATACCAACTGTAGTTTTGTAGTTATAATCACACATTAAGTATACTCTCGGTATAAACTGGGTATAGTGGTATACACCTATAAGCCCAGCTAATCAGGAAGTGGAGGCTGGAGGATCCTGAGTTCAAGCCAACCCAGGAAAGTTAGTAAAATACTGTCTCATAAAAATTTGCAAAAAAAAGCTTTGGGGTATGGCTTAAATGGAAGAGCCCTTATCTAGCATGCTACACGCCATGGGTTCAATTCCCAATCCTGAAAACAAATCAGTGAAGTTCAGAACCAATTCCTCAGACAGCTTAGCCCCCTCCACACTCTGACTCTTGCAGGGTGACTCTGGGGGACCCCTCAACTGCCCCACTGAGGATGGCACCTGGCAGGTCCATGGCGTGACCAGCTTTGTTTCTTCCCTCGGCTGCAACACCCTGAAGAAGCCCACGGTATTCACTAGGGTCTCTGCATTCAACCAGTGGATCGAGGAGGTGAGGAGGATGGGGGAGGGCAGAAGACTCCTGGGGAAACCATAGGCCCCAAGAAGAGCCTGGGATGCTCCTGGGCCCAGTGTGGGGGACCTTGGGGATGTTCCTGAGGACCTGAAATGTTTTGTGCTAAAGCTCTGTCGTGGGAACGTGGCTGTTTTCTGGGTGGGGCTCTCAGTGGTGGCTGCACTTCCCGAATCCAATGGGTGTCCCTAAAGGTCTCTGCTGCTGCAGTCTGTCTTTCTCACAGAGGATAGAGAGATATGCCAGACAAAGTGTCACCTGGTGAGGGACAGATGAGACACTGGAGAATATTGATGAAGGGTGGTACAGCCATGTAAGGGGACACTCAGTCCCCAGCAAGGGCACAGACGTCATCAGGGGACAGGTGGTCTGATATGGTTGACAGTGCTCATGATAACAGTAATGGCTATAATTTATAGACAACATAACTGTGCCAGTCACTGTGGTGAGAACCTTAGTTAACAGTTTGATTAGGAACTCCTGTGGAGCAGGATTTGGCAGTACACACCTGTAATCCCAGCACTTGGTGGAGGCAGAATCTCAAGTTCCAGGCCGGCCTGGGCCACACAGTGAGGTCCTATCTCAAACAAACAAAGAAACCCCATGAGGGAGTACTATTCTTGTCCTGGTGTAGAGATGAGGAAACTCAGAGAGGTTAAGTCACTCTCATAAGCTTAGACAGCTCTTGAGTGACAGGGCTGGGAGTTAGGCCTATTTCCCTCCAGCTCCAGAACCTGTGCTCCTAACTAGACTATTTCGTTTTTTTTGGCGTTATTTGGGTTTGAACTCAGAATTCAGCCTTGCTAGGGAAGTGCTTACCACTTGAGCCACATCCCTTTTGCTTTCAGTTTGTTTTCCCAATAGGGTCTCCCACTTTGCCCAGGCTGGCCTCTGAACATGATCCTCCTCCTCTGCCTTCCAAGTAGCTGAACCTACAGGTCTGCACCACCACCACTAATTAGACTATCCTGTCCTGCTTCCCATCTTTGTTTTTTCCAGACCATTGCAAGCCACTAGCCCAAGGCCTAACTGGCGGCACCCATCCACGTCCTTCAGAAAGAATAAAGACCTCTCAGAAAATCCTAGGTTGTGTCTCTTTCCTTCACTGAGTTTCCTCTTCCCCTCCAGCCTCTGTCTAAGATCTCAGATCTGAATTGCAGAGATGAGACCCGACCCAACCCTCTCAGGTGAGGATGAGAAAGGAGTGAGCCTCAGGGAGAAGAGGGGAGGTGCTGTTGGGTGACCAACTGTCCTGGCTTGCCTAGGACTCAGGGGGTCCTGGGACACTGGACTTTTAGCACAGAAGCTGAGACAGATTCAGGAAAATTCGGGTCAAACTGGTGATTCGAAATCCATAGTCATACATAAATTAGTGACTTTTCAACACAGGCACAAAAACAGAGTAAAATCTGCAGAAAAACTTATGTTGCCAGCTCTGGGGAGGGTCATGGCAGGGAGGGAAGAAGAATGTGTTTTCTGTCCATTGCTGGGCGGGAGGAGGGCTGAGGTCATTCATTCATTCAGCAAACATCTACTCATTGTTCCAGAGGAGGGCTGAGAGAGGGAGGAAGACGTTGCTCGTTATTTAGAGAAATGTGGGCATCAGGACCATTCATTGAATATGACTAGCTACCTGCGTTGTGATGGTCATGGCGGGGAGGGCGGGGGTGAATCAGACAACCTCAGGGGGCCCTGGCTGCACTGGGGAGACATGTGCACATGCATTCCCACACATTGTGACGTGGAAGGCTGCAGCACGGGAGGCTGCAGTCCAGCAGGCCGTTGAGGCCTGATAGATCCTGCTATGCAGACAGAAGCAATATAAAAATAATGGAATCATTTGCGTCACGTTTTCTCCTGAACACCATGACAGGAACGTGACCTCAGCCAGGTCAGGCATGCATAACTATTTTAATTCCTTTTTTTCTGGAGACTGGGTGTCCTTCCTTAGCTCAGTTTGATCTGAAAGTCAGGATCCTCCTGCCTCAGCCTCCCGAGTGCTGAGATTACAGGTGTGAACCACATGTCTGGCATACACAATTTTTTTTTCATTTTTCTTTTATTATTCATATGTGCATACAAGGCTTGGTTCATTTCTCCCCCCTGCCCCCACCCCCTCTCTTAGCCATACACAATTTTTAATATTAATTTTGCTCCATTAATATTATACCTTCCTTCTAACAGTTAGATGTTCAGCTTTGAAAAGGTTAAAAGACACACCATGGAAAGTCATATAGCAAACACCTTGGCAGGTGACATCCCTTCAAAATAAACAAGTTTCATGTCCTTTTTTATTTTTATTTTTATTTTTTTGGTGTGGGGATGGAGCCCAGGGTCTGGCACATGCTAGGCAAGTGGTATATCTCAACCTGCTGTTTCATATAGTTCATATATACGTATGTGTCTATTTTTTGTCTTAATGGTGCTGGGGTTGAATTCAGGGTCTTGTGCGTGCTAGGCAGGGCTATACCACTTGAGCCATGCCCCCAGCTCCTGCTGCTTTTAAAAATAGTAGGTACAGTCAAGGTGGAGGCCCTCTGCTACTCTTCCCAGAGGCCATCATGATGATGGGGCAGGGGCTGTCCACCAACCATGACTACTTTTTCTTTTGCACATGGAATAGGGTAGCTCCTACCTACGTCCTAATGTTGGATTTCACCTTATGACTTCTTTGACCAACACAAAGTTTTGAGGGACGGGGTGATTTACCATTCCTTCCACCATGGCATCTGGTAGCTACTGGTCAGCTGGTCCCAGAGTGAGAAGATGTGGAGTGGAACCTCCACCAACCCTTGATGAACACGTGACATAACTAAGAAATAAACTGTCATGTGTTACTGAGACTTTGTGTGTTATTGGTTACAGTGGCATGGACCTAACCTATCCTAACTGATAACATGAGTTTGCTGTTTATCCTATAGCAGTATGGTGTTGCTATATTTTTGTTTTACTTTTTTTTTTTTTTTTTTTGCAGTACTGGGTTTGAACTTAGGGCTTCACACTTACTAGTCAGGCACTCTGCTACTTGAGCCATTCCACCAGCCCCATGTTGCTATATATTTTTATCACACATATAAATATGTACAAACAATATGTTGCATTGCTTTGTTTTTAAAAATATATGTACTGGTTGGATGTGGTGATCCATATCTGTAATGCCAGCACTTGGGAGGCAGATGCAAGGGGGTCACACGTTCTGGAGCAGCCTGGGCTACACAGTGAGATCCTGTCTCAAAAAGCCAATGTCTGGGGGACTGCAGGCATAGCTTAAATGTCAGGGTGTCTGCATTCAAGTGGGAAGCCCTGAGTTCAAATGCCAGTACTACCAAAAAAAAAATGAAGTAGTCAAAAAACCTGAGGCAGGGCTGGCATAGTGGTCCAAGTGGTTGAGCCCCTGCCGAGCAAGCGTGAGACCCTAATTTCAAACCTTAGACTGCAAAAAAACCAAAATGAAACAAAAAATCCCAATGGCTATGGATGCAGCTCAGTGGAAGAACACTTGCTTAACATATGCAAGGCCCAGCACTGCAAAATAAATAAATACAAGCAGGGCTGCGTGCTGTGCAGGTTGACCTAGAACTTCTTTCATTTGGCGATGTAGCCAAGCTGCTTTATCTACCTTGTTCATTTCTGCTATTACAGAGTACCCCATTACATAACAACACTAGTCATTCCCTCCTCTCCCACTGATGGACATCAGAGCAGAGCCAACTTTTTATGATCACAAACAGTACTTCAGTGGATGTCCTTGATTTCTTTCCAGGTACACATGTGTGAAAGTTTCTCCAGGGTATATTCCAAGAAGTAGAATTTCTGAGAGGGAGGCGACCTTTTTCAACTTGCAAAATACCAAATTGTTCTCCAAAATTATTGTATTAAATATATATATATATATACACATATATATGTATATACACACATTGGCTTCACTGGGGTTTGAACTCAAGGCCACACACTGTAGCTAGGCAGGTCTCCAGCACTTGAGCCAATCCACCAGCCATTCAACAATACTTTTTAAAATTTCTCCTTTTCCTTTTCCCATCCACTACCACCATACATCACAAACCATCCCACATTTTTCCCTCAAATCACTCCTGGGATCTCAACTCTGCTCCACAAAACTCTCTCCCAGTTCTTACAAAAAATCCCTAGACATTGTCTGGCAGGGCCAGAGTGAGGGCGGGGGGACCACCTCAGGCAGAGTCAGGCTTGGGCATCCTGGAGCTGGTGAGGTTGGGAGGAAGTTCTGGAACCACACATCCACTAATCACTTTTATTGAGTCAGACCACAGTGCCTGGTGACATGGAACCGGCAGGTGCTGCCAAGGCTAAGTGTCTACTCCCACTGGTGGGTCATGAAGCACTCTTGGATAACTTTCCAAAATGGTTTCAGGATAAATGGCAGAAGAGCCATGTGTGAGACCCTGAGTTCAAACCCTAGTACTCCAAAAGGAAAGAAAACCCAAGGGATAGGGATGCAGTTCAGTGGTAGAGCCCTTAACAAAATATGCAAGGCCCAGCACTGCAAAATCTCTCTCTCTCTCTCTCTCTCTCTCTCTCTCTCTCTCTCTCCCCTCCTCCCTCCTCCTCCCTCCTCTTCTCTCCCCCTCTTCCTCTCTCTCTTCCCCCGCCCCCTTCCCGAACTGGCCTTGATTTCTGGGCCTACACCTGACCTCTTCCGCCAATCGTTTTTTGTGATGGGTTTTATCCAGATAGGGTCTCTCGAACTATTTGTCCGGGTTGGCTTGGATCCGCAATCCTCCTGATCTCTGCTTCTTGAGTAGCTAGGATTACAGGCATGAACCACCGGTGCCCAGGAAGATGTCGCTTTTGAAAAAGCAGAATGTCAGTACATCAGTTCCCTTTTTAAAAATAATAAACATCAGCCTGGCAGCAGTGGCTCACACCTGTAATCCTACCTACTTTGGAGGCAGAGATCAGGAGGATCACGGTTCGAAGCAAGTCCTGGGCAAATAGTTCAAGACTCCCCATTTTGAAAATACCCAACATAAAATGGGGCTGGCCCAGTGGCTTAAGTGGTGGAGCCCCTGCCTACCAGCATAAGGCCCTGAGTTCAAATCCCATCCTGCCAAAAAAAGATCACTGTTGCAAAGTTCTCTAATCACCTGATATTAATTCCATTCTTTTAAAAATCATTGAAGTGTCAGTAATTCATTCTTTAATGGTAAAAGAATTAGCAATCCCATTTTCTTTTTCAAAACATTAACATAGGCCAATTTTTAGACATGTTTACCTCGAGAACCAGATCATTTAAAAATCTCCAACTTTTCCACTTCTGTTCCACAGCTGCTGAACTTTTGCTGATTCCTTCCACTTCTTCATCTTTGCCTTTAGCTTGAATGGACATGGGCTGAGCGCCTACAGGTGGTGTGTGTCAGGCATGGGAGGCAAAGGAAAATGGCCAAAACTCTGTGGACCTCACAGTGCAACTGAGAAGCTGGATATCCCCAAGTAAGGATGATGTCTTGATTCTGTGTCCCAATAGAGAACCATAGCAATGTGGGGCCCAAGGATCTGGGGTCACAAGGGGACTCTTCCAATCAGAAGATTGAAACATCAAGGAATTCCCAATGAATGTGAGTCATCAGATCTTCTTTTGATGGAGCCGGGGGTGTATCTCAGTGGTCAAGCATTTGAGAGTCAACAGGCTCCCCAGCAGTGTCTCTGGACCCTGAATAGACACCCCACCCCCAATCTCTTAACATCAAAGACAGTGCTGAGAAACCTTTTCTCTAAAATCAGAAATTGTCACACTCTCTTGTTTGAAGTCACATCCGTGAAACAGAACATCCCTCTCTGTCTGGTGGGTCATGGCAGTTTTGGCACAGAGCAGCAGCCTTGATTTCCAAACCAGATAGAGATTCAGAGAAGGGCTTTTTGGAACAATCTATATTTATCTTATTTACCTTTCAAGTGTCAAAGGAAACAGAACTATGAATCCAATTTTTAGCCTAAGTCAGATGTTATCCCCTTTATACACAGCGGGCTGTAAAGGGACTGGATGGGAGCCTTTGGGACAGGTGGATGGGGGTGATGAAGGCTGCTTTGGAG